TTTTCATCATGAAATGCCCACAGGGCTCAAGCTTAGACCCTAGAGGTAGGAAGATATACTTTAGACAGTAACACTGTACTTATTTTAAGTTGTGTACTTAAAAACACAACTTTAGCCTCAAAGGCCACAATGCTGTGGGGCATTCATCATAGAAGACTTCTCATACATAGGTTTAAGCCAATAGAAAGTCTTTATTAGTTGGCTGGCAAATACACAGGGTGTTTAAGATCTCTTGTAGCATTGCACCTTTCTCAAGGTGAGCTAAAAAAGCACAAAAACCATGTTCTGGGTTGGCATACTTCAGTTAATAAGAACAGTTAGCCAGAGGTAGAACTACAAAAGCTAAAAAGCCAGGTTAATGCTTTTAGAGACTTTCCCAGAATTATGGACTTCCATGGATTAGATCTTTGTTTTTGTTTTGGAAGTTGGTACTGTTTATGTGCTGATTTTTATGTCCTAAATGGCATTTCCATCATGGAGTCAGTGGTGCTAAGGTCTGGAGGCCTACTAAGGTCTTGGACCCTGTTATATAAATATGAGTGACCACAGCCTAGAAACACAGATTTAGGCTACCCCAAATTTCATGTTCTAAAACAGAAGCAACTTCTTTAAGATTTTACAGTAACAGAACAAAGAAAAGTCGTAAATAAAGGCACTTCCCAACTCATTGGAAGAAGTACTATAGTAAGTAATTACAGTGAGGTAGAGACAGGGCATTTATAGGGCTTGGATGCTGGCTGAGTGAGGGCTGTGAGCCTTTGGAGTGGTAAGAACCACAGTTGGTTAAGTTGTTGCATTGCAAAAGGTTCTTAATCTTTTAGCTACTTAGGGGGCTAACATTAGCCTAAAACAGATTGTAACTAATTGTAAGCCTAAACTCTGGGCATGAGGATTTTAAATTCTCCATTATCATTGAAATTCTAATGAGGTAATCAGCTTTGCAGAAGGTTCAAGTTTGAAGGTGTGACTTCTTCCTGTGAACTGTTATTCTCAAAGTGGTAAGATGAAAACAGTTTTAATAACTTGCTTAGCATAATTTCATTCCAATTTTGCCTTCATTCATAATATTGTAAATTATAGACACAAGATAAGAATCTAATTAGGTGATCATTCCTTCTTTTTAAATTTTTTTTTTTTTTTTATTTTATGTGCACTGGTGTTTTGCCTGCATGTGTGTCTGTGTGAGGGCATCAGGTCCCCTGGAACTGGAGTTACAGACAGTTGTGAGCTGCCATGTGGGTGTTGGGAATCAAACCCAGGACCTCTGGAAGAGCAGCCAGTGCTCTTAACCGCTGAGCCATCTCTCCAGCCCCCATTCCTTCTTTTTAAATTTTAAATTTTTACATGACAACAGGAGTATTTGACAATGAAAAATAATTTGGGAGTTTGATATTATTAACAGAAAATTTCTTTAGATATGTAAAGCTTTATATAATTTCCTTTCTTTAATCTAATATTGGTTATATTTTCTCTTTGTCTTGTGTCTAAGCTAGATTTGTTTCTCCAAGTAGCATATGTGTCTTGTTAGAGCAATAAAAAGAAATAACATGTACATACTTAACAATATTATTAGTGAAGCACTATAAGGTCAAACTCTTTTCATACACTGTCTAAAATGGCTGCTCTTAGGGAGGTGGAGAGTGAATGACTTGCATTTCCTATTCTGTTGCAAGTAAAAAATCGGTGGAGCAGACATTATAGTCTGGATGCTGAGCAACTGTGCTGAAAATGGAGGGAGAACGTGTAAGTTATCCCAAGTATGGCGATATGTCTTCTCTGCTCTGTCATTTGGGTCATGGCAGGGGACTACTTTTCAAACAATGTCATTCTCAGACCCACAGGAGTGACAGCTAAGCCTCCATCATTTAAGAGATATGAAAAACATCATGATGGTGTATACCAGACTTTTATGTCTTTGCCAATGTTCTGTCAGGATTTAGGAAAAGCAACCTAATATAATTTTATCATAGAACAAGCAAAATAAGGAAAACAGTTAAAGGTGTTTTCACTTAAGAATTATACTATTTTTTAAGAGAAAAATCCACACCTTTTTTAAAATCAACGTGTTCTAGTGAAGTGTCTGTCAATTACTATTTATGTACCTGGAGTCTGTCTTCTGAATCTAGACTAGAAATAGACACCCTCATTTAATTAGCAGTACATATTGAGGAGGGTTATAAAGAGTGGTGATTTCTGTCTAACAATGAAGTTCTAAGATCCATAAAGGGCAGCGAACACTAAACAGAATTTCTGTGTCTTTACTTACTAGGTTTCAGTATCTTGTTATTTCAATAGTCTAGTTTCACAACATATGAACACCAGTATCTTTTCCCCAACATGTTACATTTTCAATTTCTCTTTGAAACCCAAAAGACATTGGAAATTATCTATTAAGTTTGTACATATTTTAAATTCTATTATATTTTATAATGTAACTGCCAGAATGCTTTGAGAGTTATGAAACTATAGTTTTGAAACCCACTAAATTACAAAATTTGACAATAATTGGAATCCTGTTTATTGTTCTTAGTATTCCCTTTTCAGTGTACTGATTTTCATATGACTAATAATTTTGCTCAGTGCCAATAGCAGTCAAGTATCTATTTGATTTAACATGTATTCACAACCTTGGGTTACATACATAAGAAATCTGCCTGTAGTCTGTGCATGAAGCAACACACAAACAGGACAGCAAAACATCTTAACTAGTGTTCAGTGGGAGAGGTACAGAAAGCTTCCTGGTAGAAATAATGCATCAACTGTGACTTATTGCAAAAGAAGGAATTACAACAACATCTAGGGAATCCAAGAGAAAGATGAGAAAGACTAATTCAGCAACTCAATGCAAATTAGACCTTGGAGTCATGGTGTGAGGATGAGGGAGACAAAATTGAGATGAGTGTATCAGGTGATGAAGAACCCCATATGTCACTTTATAAAGGAGACTTCGAATTAACACCAATGAAAAGCTATTAAAAGATCCGAAGCAGGGGGCCAACATGATCATAATTGCATTATGTAAATGAGGTGTTAGAATGATAATTTTATGTTTATGTTTATGCTAAAGCCTCAAGACTATAAGTATCAAATCCTCTGAGGAGTAGGCCCCCTGAGGAAGAACAGCAATGGGTTTCTCTAGCAACAGCTTTTGCAGTCCTTGGCTGACCATCCACCTGTGGGCTGTAACAGCAGGTGGAGACACTGAGCATGTAGAAAGGAGACTCATGTAGAATTAGTGCCACAGAAGTTACAACACAGCACCTCTCATTCTGAGAAAGTTGACATTCTCATGGAGAACAGTACAGATAATTTTATTTGTGGCCTTTGTAGTCTGAGGGTTGAAGGCCTGAGAAAGATGAATAATGATTATCTAGTTCTAGTGTCCAGAAACAATGACATGCATGCCGTGGCTTGGGTATAACATGTCCATATGCTCAATTCTACTGAGATTTTTATCACAATACAAAGTCCAGGCAACAACCAGTAAGGTGTAAATGACCCAGTCAAGAGAGATTTTTGTCCTGTTTTATCCTTTGATTTACTTCAGTCACACAAATGCTAAAAAACACAGTGAGAAACTCGGCATTCCTTCCCTCCTGCGGCCTTCCCACACACTGCAGGGAGGGCTGATAAGGAACAGAGCTCTAAATATCACAGCTTTTATTATTTCCTTGGACAGGACATATTAATCATGGACTCTTTGGGGCATTTTAATATGATAGGGCAGAAGGAAGGAGACCTAGCTCCACAAAACAGCTTTGTAGGGATAAATGGGGAAAGGAAATTTGACTTATCTCTGCAGTTTGTGTGGTGAGTTTCAACACACCGGTTTGAGAAGGGTGTGTCTGATTGCCACGTGGAAATCCTTTTATATTCAACTATCTTGATGCTGTCTTTTAATGTGTTTATATATTGAAGATTCTTATACCTTTCTAGAGAGATGCCAGCATTATCACTGTATAGTGCTAACATTATATGATGCTTCTCTCTATCTCCGATATTTTTCTTGTGTTGCTCTTAGCGAACAGTGTGGTGCCAGCTTCCTTTCTTGTTTTGGTATCACCATCTTACTTCCTTTCTCCCACCCCTATTTTAAATATTTCAGCTGGGGTGATAGCTCAAGCCTGTAACCCCAGTTCTCAGAAAGCTGAGGTTGGATCACTTTGAAATGCTGGAGGCTGTCTAGGAATAAGTGTGAGTTCTAGGATAGCCTGAACTATAAACTAACATTCTGTCTCAAATAAAATAATAAAAAATTATACTTTTAGAGAAGTTTCGGGTTTATAGTAAAATCTAACAGGAAACAGAGTTCCTACCTGTCACCTCCACCTACCATCACAATCCTGCTTAAGTGGTGGATTTGTTACAAATGATGGGAGCTGCCCAGCCTTCCCAACTAGCAACATCCTGCATCACAGTGGTACACTGAATACTAATGATTAAGCATCATTCTGACCCAAAGTCAACAATAAGTTAGGGTTCAAGGTTGTTGTCTGCTCTCCCATAGATTTTTGACAACTCTTTTGTAGCACATCTGTTCATAGTTTTGTAACATATCTTCATAGTATTGCACAATGAGGTTCACTGCTCTAAAAAGCTCCTAGCTCCATTAATTCTTCCATTCCTCTTAATACTGGTGGATGACTATTGACCTGTTTACTGGATTTACAATTTTGATTTTTCCAGAACGTCCTATGGTGTGTGTCCTAGCTGACTCTGTCAACTTAACATAGCTTAAAGTCATTTGACAAGAGAATCTCAATTGATGGATTGCCCAGGACAAATTGGCCTGTGGGCATGTCTTGATTGTCCATTGATGTTGGAGGGTCCAGGCCACTGTGGAAACACCATTCTCTGGGAAGGTAATCCTGAACTGTAGAATACTGCGGCAGTCCACAGAAGTTTTTGATCAGGACAGATTTATTAAAGGATTAAATCGATACAGCACACTCACAAATAACAGAACAAAGCGGCACTGCTGCTTCTTCATTCACCAGGGAGAGATGGGGAAACTCCAGACAAGGTCACCACACTGTGGCGTCAGGAAGCCTTCCACGGTCCAAAAAAGCAGATGCATAATCAGCCTCCTTCGATTCTTAAAGGGTCTGTATCTTAGAGAAGACCACGCCCATCGGGCCAACCCGCTTCATTCCATTGGTCATTAAACCGAATGGCAAAATTCCTACAACAGTAGAAGAAAGCTACTTAAGCATGGGCCTCTTAGTGAGTCAGAAAGCTGAGTTCCTCTCTGGGCTCTACTTCATGATCTGGCTTGTATTCCTGTTCTGACATCCCTTAATGATGGACTGTGACCTGTAAACTGAAATAAACCCAATCACCCACTGAGTTTCTTTTAGTCGTGGTATTTATTCCAACAATAGAGGTGAAACTAGAAGAGTATCTATCATGTAGTACGCATCCCTTTCAGATTGACATCATGGCTATCCAATTTACTTTTAATATTCTTTGTGTATTTCAGACATTTAAAAAAACACTGGAAGACAGTACATTGTCTGTACATTTTCTTCTTGAAAGGTATCTTGGTTGTTTCCAAGTTTGGCAATTAAGAGGAAAGCTGCTATAAAAGTACAACTGCAGCTTTTGCGTGGACATGGTTTTTAGTCATTTAGATTATTTGCCAAAAGTATATCTAACTTTTATACCAGCTGGGCTGCAAGATGGATTCGCAGGTGAAGATGCTTACTGCCAAACGTTATGATCTGAATTTGAGCCCTGGAACTCACAAGGTGGAAGAAATGCACCAACTCCTTCAAGCTGTCCTCTGACTTCCACACCTGTCCTGTGGTGTGTGGACCCCTGAGTGTACATGACCACACACATTCAAAATACATATAAAAAGCAAAACATAAGATGACAGTCTTCCAAATGTGTGCTTTGCATTTCCACAAGCAATGAGTATTTTGATGTCCAATATTCTTGTCTGCTTGAGTTCTGGATTTTACACATTCTGGCAGTGGCATCTCAGTGTGGTAGATTGATGTGTCCATTATTTTGTTGTTTCTGTGGAGGGGCCCCCAAACAGCTTAATCACACAGCTGCCATGACAGGCTAGAGGCCCAGACACTAATTCTGGAAGGCAACACCTGGACCCAGGAAAAGCCATAAGCTGACCCCACCCAGGGACCCGGGCCTGAATCTAAGGGGAAAAACCTGACATTCCAAACATTCCCTATACCCCTAGACAAATGTCAGCCAATCAGGGTCCTGAACCCTGGAAATCCCCTCACCCCAACCTCTGCTATGATAAAAACTCTACCCCACCTGATCTCAGGGCTCTCAGCTCTCACTACTGCAACAGATACACACAGGGACTAAGCCCTGGAGCTTGAAGGTAATAAAGGCTCTTGGCTTTTACATATGGGATTCTGTCTCTCTGGTGGTCTTTTAGTGGTCCTGGCAATCTGGGCATAACAGTTTTAATTTGGAATTCTGATGGCATACTATTAAAAATGTCTCTTCATGTGTTTATTAGCTATCAGTTGAGATCTACGGACTTTGCTTATTTGGTGTAATTATTTTGATATTGTTTAATTTTTGAAAGCTCTTTGTGTATTTTAGATAACAATTGTTCATCCACTAGGTCTTATGCAAATGTTTTCTGTAAATCTCTTGCTTTTCTTTTCACTTTGTCAACAATGATCTTCACAGATCATAGTTATAATGCAATCTGAATTATCAATTATTATGTTTTACCTAAAAATTTATCACTATGAATAAGATCATTGACGGTACTTCTTGTATCTTCTAGAAGTTTTATCATTTTGTATATGGTCTGCTGTCTTGTGGGCTACTTGGGGCTATGCTGGTGAAGAGCTAAGGTGTGAATCTGGATGCATAGTTTGCACAGAAAATCACAGCTGCTGAGTTGCCATTTGTTACAATCTTTTCTGTGGTGATATTTTATTTGTGCTGAAATGTGGTGATACTTTATTTGTGTGTTAATAAATAAAGCTTGCCTGGAGATCAGGGAAAAAAGACTAGCTGTTTTAAGTAAACAAAGACCCTTAATCCCTTAGCAGGCAGAATCTCTGTGTGTTCAAGGCCATACTAAGGAACAGAGTTAAGCTGGTGATCCATGCCTTTAATCCCAGTATCAACCATAGAGACCTGGAGGTCTGTAGAGACACACAGTGACAGAGCTGTGTAGGAAGTGGAAGTGAGGTAGCTGGGCTAAGAGCCAATGAGAGGGCAGAAAATCAAGGCATATAAGCCTGGGTAGATAGGAAGTCACTCCTTGAAAGCTGCAGAGTTGGTGAGGTGAGGTTAGCGGGTGGCTTTCTGGATTTCCCTGATCTCTCTAAGGCTTTAAACCAAATTTCTGGCTCTGTTTTTTATTTAAAAAAAAAAAAAAACATTTAGAAATTCGCCTACACTTTTCTTTATTTCCTTGGCTCCCTGTCCTTTGTCAGGTGACTACACTTATGTGGGACTACTGTGTTCTTTTATGTTGGCATGTCTATCTTTTAGCCAATATCATGCTGTCTTGATTACTGTGTCTTTTTAATATGTATTAATGTCAGTCCTTTTACTATTATATTGTTTTTTTCTGGTTCTTTTCATATAAATTTTGTCATCAGTTTTTTTACTACTCACAAAACAAATTCCTATACTTCTTTTTATGAACTTACTCACATTGAATCTACAGATAAATTTAGGAAGGATTCACAGCTGGATAGTGTTGATTCTTCTCATCTGTGAATAGGGGACATTTCTCTGCTTATTCCATACTTGGAATATTTTTTATCAGATCTTGTGGATTTTCTACTCCTTTGCCTTCAGTCTGATTCTTTGTGCTTAGGATGTCTTTCCTGTTGACAGCATATAAGTGTTTCATATTCAATGGACACTGAGAATCACTTTAAAACGGTTATCTGGGTCATTGGATCAATATGTACCAAATTTACAAGACTTCTACTTTTTCTTGTGTTTGTACTTCCCCAGTTTTTATAAACAGTTCTCCTTTGTTCTGACTTATTTGTTTTGGAGAACTGTTTTTGCTTGAGTGTTATCTTCTTTGCTACACAGTTAACTTTTAAAATGCTTTAATGGTTGCCCTGAACTTTGCCACATGGAGTTCTAGTTATTCTAACTCTATAGGCAGAGAATATTATATCACTTCACAGAAGTACGGGCATCTCATAATAAAATTATTCTCAATGTTCCCTTTTCATTCCATATGATATTGTTGTTTTTATTTTACATATTGAGAAGTCTTTCCTTCTATAGTTAGTATTATTCTGAACGGCTATCTTTAAATCAGTCAAGAACAGAAAACAAAAACTTTCCCTTGTCTTCTTTGACACTCGCATTTTTCTATGTGGATATCAATTTCTGATAACTTTCAGTTTCCATGAAGATTTTCCTATAATATCGTTGGTATATTCCTTGATTGGTGTTTTCTTAGCTTTCTAGGTACGTAGACTGTGGTTCATTATTAATCTTATAAAAGTTTCTTGTTTTTTCTATTTCTTTACATTTATTTTTTTCTTTTTCTCCTCTAATATTCTCAATTGCACATTTACACAAATATGGAATTGTCTCTCAGCTCCTAGATGTTCCATTTCTCTATTTTCTCAGCATCTCAATTTAGGGAGCTTTGACTGACAAATCTTCAAGCTCACTTATTCTTTCATTTGCCCTTGCCAGTCACTGGTGGATATATTAAAATCATCATTTCAGTTACAGTAGTCTAGCATTTTCTTTTCATTAAAAATTACTTAGGTAAGTTCCATTATTTTGTTGTTGTTGTTTTGTTTTTCAAGACAGGGTTTCTCTGTGTAGCTTTGCGCCTTTCCTGGAACTCACTCTGTAGTCCAGGTTGGCCTTGAACTCACAGAGATCTGCCTGCCTCTGTCTCCTGAGTGCTGGGATTAAAGGCATGTGCCACCACCGTCCGGCAGTTCCATTATTTTTTAAATCTCATTTTATTCTTCTACCAAAAGCGTGACATTTTAAAATCTTCTTTTGTCCTGGAAATTAACACAGTTGACCCTACAAATTAACAGTGATTTGCACGTTCCCTGTCGCCACAGTGCTCTTGAACTTCGAATTCAAAGTCAATTGTGACACATATTTGCACTGCAAATGTGTTGAAATCTAGTCCTAGTTTGAGTTCTCCTGCTGTGACAAAACACCCTGCTGAAGAGCAGCTTGACAAGGAAAAGGTTCATTTCAGCTCACGGTTTATAATCATGAAGGGAAGCAAAGGCAGGAATTCAGGGCAGGCAGGAACTTGGCGGCAGGAACTGAGGCAGAACTGAGGCTGCTTGCTGACTTGCTCCCCTTTGCTTGTTCTTTTACAATCCAGGGTCCCCTGCCCAGGAGTGGCATGACCTGCACTGCAAGCCAACCTGATAGAAGCTGTTCTCCAGTTGAGGCTCCCTCTTCTCAGGTGACCCTACCTGTGTCACGGTGACAAAAGCAAACCAGCACAATCTTAACCACGGTATTTATTTCCTTCAAAACCAGTTCTGATACATTTTCAAAGATGTATTCCAATGCCATGTATGAATTCATTCGTGTTGCTGTGACAAAACTCTTGATATAAGCAACAGAGGTAAGGGAAGCTTTTGCTTTGGTTGCTAGTAGTATTTATGGGATACTTCCTTGTAATCCATTGGCCAGAGAGACCCCAGAGGGTCCCCAAATATTATAGTTGCCTTTACTCTTGGTTAGCCACTAGAAATACTCCATTGCTGAAGATACCACACACTTGGATATGAGACATAGAGGGAAAAAAGCTGGAAATGAGCAACTGGAAGTTTTGTCCCAGCTGGCTGGTGTTTCTAATGCTACTGGAGAGCATTCATCAATGTCTTTTCCAGTTATGGGCTTTTGTACACTATAATTCTGATGTGTCTGGCTAAACGTGCCCACTGGTACAGTAATGGCATGACTGTTATGGAGTGAAAAATTGTTTCTTTCTCAGGATTGAGACCTGACCCATGGGACTGGAAGCATGTATGTTACTGTAAACCTGGACACAAGCCTCAGGCCAGTGAGATCACAAGCCCATGGGGAGATTGTTCTACTGATGTTTTGCTAAATGGATGTGTAGCCAAAGTTCTTGCTAAATGATTATGTGTGCGTGCGTGCATGCGTGTGTGTCTGTGTGTGTGTGTGTGTGTGTGTGTGTGTGTGTGTGTGTGTGCGTGTGTGTGTGTTTATACCCACTGACTAGTGCTACTCTCAGTGTGTATCAGAGGTACTTCTTTTTGCAGAGGATGACAGTTGACATAAAGATTCATAACTAGTGAGAATGCTGAGAACAAATGGCTGCTCAGTTCTTGGCCCTAAACTAGATGCCTATGTCATCCCTTTCAAGCCTATTACATAAAATAAGCAGGAAGGGTCGAGGAGCTCTGTAACACTGTGGATGGAGCAGGGCTGTCACAGTCACGAGTGCTGCAGATGTGGCCACAAACACAAGATCTGCACATATACAGGAAAGAAGACAGAGGGGGAGTAGAGGAGGAGAAGAGAGTCAGCACAAGTGGGAGAGGAATAAGGACAGAAATGAGGGGTGGATACATTCAGAGTACATTCTACACACCTATGTAGTTATCATCATATTGATGGCCTAAGCTAGGTAAATGTATAAATAGATGTATATTATATATACTGCATGGATGTGCATGCATTTGGGTACTAAATGTAATTAGAGCTCGGTAGTGGTGGTGCACTACTTTAATCCCAGCACTCAGGAGGCAGAGGCAGGTGGATTTCTGAGTTTGAGGTCAGCCTGCTCTACAGAATTAGTGTCAGTCTATAAGAGAAACTCTGTCTCAAAAAAGATGTAATGACAGACATCTTTTCCTTTTTAGTATTGCTTAAAATACAATTGCAAAATTTCTCCCCTTCCCTTTCCTATCTCCAGTCCTTCCATTCCACCTAATCTCTCACATATTCAGTAACTCTTTTCCTCTATTGTTTTATATAAATACATTATATATAAGTATATATGGACACACACACACACACACACACACACACACACACACATATATATATAATATAAATACAACCCATTGAGTTTCTTTAATGTTGTTTGTATGTATATGATTTCAGAGCTGACAACTTGGTATTTGATAATCTACTGGTCTCATCCCTAGCAAATACTAATTCTGTTTCTCTAAACCATCATGAATTGCCTATAGTTATTTATCGAGGGGTAGAGGACCTTGAGATTTCCTTGCTCCATGTTACTATGTCAATTAGTGTTGTCATTGTTTGGGTCTTGTGTAGGCAGCCATACAGTTACCATACCTTGGGTGTGGCTTCCCTGTCATTCGTAGGAAGCAACCTCACAGCACGTTTACTCCATTCCTCTTCCCCAATGTTCCCTGAGGCTTATGTGCAGGAACTGTGTTGTAGATGGAGCCATTGGGAATTAGGTTCCCCACCATCACTTGATCTCTGTATTTTGACCAGTTGAGGTGTTCCATACTGGTCTTTACCTGCAATGAAGAGAAGTTTCTTTGATAATGTGTGAGAGCTATACTTAGTTGTGATTATTAGGATAAGTATGTAGAATTCAGTTAGGAATTATACAGGTCTAATAAAGTTGTGGCAGTAGGTTCTCCTCTAAGAGACATGACCACACTAGCCCCAAGTAGCTGGCTAGGTTTCCAATTCTATACATTATTTCCTTCCTGTTGAGTACGCCTTAAGTCCAGTTAGACAGCTGGTGGTTATTGGCAAGATATGGCAGCCACTGCTGTACATTTAGGGATATCTTACTGTGATGGTCATTGTCATGGTCCATTGTCATCATATTATTTTCCTCCCTTGGGAGCTTGCTTAGCATCTTCTAATGCTCTGAAAGATTGTCAGGGAGGAGGCTTTAAGATCAAATCTTCAGAGTCCTGTGTCTCTGAATTTTAAAAAGAATTCTTAAAAGCTATCTCATGCAGTGAGCCCAGGACCTGGTACCACTGCCTAGATGTCTTCCAAACAGATCAAGCCAATCAACTGTCTCATCTATTCAGAGGGCCTGATCCAGCTGGGGTCCCCTCAGCCTTTGGTTCATAGTTCATGTGTTTCCATTCGTTTGGCTATTTGTCCCTGTGCTTTATCCAACCTTGGTTTCAACAATTCTCGCT